TTTTACAAAAAGCCAAAAATTCCAGCATATTCCAGTGATAACAAATAAGATACATTTTCTTAACATTTTTTTCCTTTACAATGTTACGATAATGTACTTCAAAATGATAGAAATCTCGACAGTGTGTGGCTTGGTTAAGGAGCAATTTTTTGCAGCAGCAGCACTGGCCTACCTCCTTGTCTCCCCCTGATTTTCTCACCTCTCCCTGTTTGTTCCCTACTTCCTTCACAACAAACAAGAGGAGGCAAAGCAGCAATTAGATCAGGCCTATTGGAATTTTCATTAAATTTTCGTGATACCACTTATTCTAGGCCTAGAGCCGAAATGTCCAAAAAATTTTTTGAGCACTGATATAAATTATTTAGACCTGATTTGAGATCAAAACTCAGCTATCATGGTAGGCAGTGCTTGAATTAAAAAGGGGTCTGGTGCATCTTCAAAATGAGCCCTAGTGAACAGACTGAGTGCTTACTAGTGAATGAACATAAACTGTGTTTCTGACCAAAAGAAATGACCTTTTCACATGTGCTTTATTAGACTCTGGGAGGGAATAGCAAACAGGTATCTCAACATGTTTTTAATGATTAATTCTCTAATGAACTATTTCTCCCAAGATATAAAAATTGTTGTTTTTAAAAAGATACCTTTTGTTTTTAAGGAAAAAAATAGAAAACAAAAAACCTTAAGCAATAGATTTCTCTTATTTCCCCATACACCTTATTTTTTAAAAATTGCTATTCAGGCAAGGCATTGTAGAAATCACATTCCTTTCAGAAAACCAGTGAAAAAATTCGAATTTTGCACCTTGATCGAAACTACCATAACCTATCAAAAATGTGCTATCTAAAACTTACCAACAAAAGAACCCTCAGCAGAATAGCAAATGCATTGCTCAGGACATTAGAGGTCAAATTGAAAACGGGAACAGTTTTCTTATAAGCCTCTAGAGGCAGATCTGGAATAATATACATAGGAGAGGGAAAAGAGAAAAAAGAAATAAAACTCAATATTATGCAGATTTATGCCTTATTTTTTAGCATTTTTTAAATGTTGGGTCTTTCAGGCTAATTTTGCTTTTTTTTTAAGATATGTATAGTTTGGTTAATTAACTAGTGATTTAGTTTTATATTTAAGCTATAATTAGTCTTTTCTTTGGTGATATTTATTTCTCACCCCCCTTTTTTTTTAACTGCAATTTTTAGATGTTTTGTTCGATCTACCTAGCGCTTCATCACCATGGCAATATGTATTTCCCTTAAAACACTGCAAACAAATATACTAGGAGTGCACCCTTTTAATCTTTACTAGTTATTGTGAGATTGCTGTGTAAGTTAATAAACACATTTGTAAATACATTGTTTGCAGGAAGAAAATTTCTGAGTTGCAGCTCAGGAAAAGCCTGCTGAATTTATGTTGTAAGCATTACTTAACACAGTATAAAGATGAAAAGACAAAAATATCTTCATCCTTTCTCATCCCTTCACTGCAACAAAATCCTTAACCAGGAGAACCTTATTCCCCCCACTTTGCTCTTCCTCCTCCACTACCCACTTCTTGTCACCTTGTAATATTCAGAGAGCACTTGGATTATGGGTCTGAATAGGAAAATGCTTTCAGATAATCATTAGTCTACATACCAGTAACTTATACTCAAAGATGGGATGGAGTTGTAAAGTGCTTTTATAATACAATATTATTGTTAAAGACAAGGATTGACTTTTTGTTTTATTTTGACATGGCATGTCCTGAAATAAATATCGATTCAATATGGCAGATGGGTCATACTCTTTATTTGAAGGAGCTTGTCGTTTCTGAGGTGGGCGGAGTTGTCTTCCTATACTGCAGCATTGGAGTTATGCTGCTTTTCACATTTGGTTTCACAGTTGGTTTGGGGTTCTTTCACCGGAGCAGTGAACTATGTTCAAGGCCCAGATTTTTTTTTAGTAGACATAATTTTGCTGCCAAAAGCATAAAAATACAAAGGAAAACAGTTGCTGACTTGGTTTCCTATTCCTGCCAAGGTGGTGCATTAGCTTCTTTAGTTTCTCCCTTGAACTAGAAAAAATGAAATGGATTCCAGAAAAATAGCAAGATAACTAAAAACTAAGAAATCCCAGGGGACTAAAAGTATTTTGACTGCTGGGGTAAGAGAATGACTCAAGGACCAATCAGTGGTGGAGGTGTATATTGATGAAAAGTAGTTGAATGGGGAATTGAGAACATGACTTAGCAAACTGCCTTGCAAGTGTAAGGCTCAGGGTTCAAATTCTTGCCATGTGCCACATGCACTGAGTGCAGTCTTAGCAGCCTGTGCGGTGAGCCCTGGTGCCACAGGAGATTCCTGGCTGTACCACAACCATACGTGTACAAGCTCCTAGGCTGGGAACTGTGACTGCTGGTAAGCGCGTGTGAGCACCACTGCAAGAACTATTACGAGGACGTGTGTGCCTTGGTCAAAAAATGGGACACCTAGCAGGCCCCACAGCTATAGGGAATTGAAACCTCAGTGAGCAGTGGAGTTGAGTGTGTGAGCATCATGGCTCGAAGTGCATTAGCACTACCACCATACACCTCATAGCCCACTGAGCACCAGCAGTCCGGCGATTCCCTGACGTTCTGCTCTTCCACTAAAGAAAGCCTTGGGGCCAGAGCAAATAGTACAGTGGGTGGGGCACTTGCCTTTCTGATTCAAAATCGAAAGCCATGCACTTCACTGAGCACTTATGCACTTCACCGAGCACTCCCAGGAGTGATTCCTCTGCAGAGCCAGTGTGTGCGGCCCCAAACCAAAAAACACAAATGTCTACTAAAGATACAAATTATGGTACATGCAACTATGGCATAGTTTAATAAAGTGGGATGTGCTCTTTAATAACCACAACAAAACAGATGACTCAGTAATTACCCAGTGGGAAAAGTTGGACAAAATTAAGTATCTTCTGCTTCCACCTACATAAAATTCTAGGAAATGAAAACTGTTCTAAAGGATGACTGCATTCCCCCAGCTCCAGAAATGTTGCTTTTGTTTTCTGTTTTTACGAATTTGGCTATTCCAGGTATTATGGTAAGTAGGATTAGGGAGTGTTTGTCCTTTGTGTTTATGCCCAAGCTTGCCCTTGTCTGGAGGCAGAGTCAGACACCTTCTCCAGGCTCCCACCTCACTGAGTCATTGCTGTTGGCCTCTCGCTAACTCATTTTCCCTGGTGTTTGGGCCCTCTCATCTGTGCTTCTTCCTGGGATAGGGTCCCTGATCATTTCCAGATCACAGTTGATTGGGACACACACAGTGGACTTAATGTGGGCTCTGTCCTGTCTGCTGGTCCCACCAAGATCACTGTTAGAAAACTAATCCTCCAGAATAGTTCCTCCCTGGGCTAGATAAAAACGGAGAAAGGCTTTAGTCTGTCTCACTCAGTCCCTGGGCCCAGCAACTCCTGGATGTCTGTGGCTGACTGTGTTTTCCTTCCTTGGACTTCTGTGGGACGGGCTGGAAAAGAACCCACAGAAAGCACACGCCAGATGGTCCATGCCTAGCTCAGACCATAGAGATTCCGGTGCAGCCCCCTCACACCTGATGAGCCACAGGTCCAGTGACACCCTAAATCAGCAACATGCCATTGCCAGTTCCACGGCCTCAGCATCCACGGAGCAGAGAAGGCCCTTTTCCTGCTGAGTCATAGACAGTCCCAGGAGACAGAGCCTCTGGGGCCACAAACAAAGCCTGAGCCAGGGCTGCGCCAACCACACACCTTTATTAGCCTCTACAGCAGGTCAGGGGAGCCCCAGGTACAAGGAACATTAGCAGGCTGCTGGCTGGGCAGGGAGCATTCCTGTTGGGGTGGAGAATGGGGGTGGAGGGTTGAAAGGGGGCTGCTGGGCAACGTCAGGGAGCTCTCCTGTGTCTTCCAGGCCGAGTCACATGTAGGTGGTCCCCAGAGGGCAGAGCTCCCTCTGCCTTCTCGGAGAAAGGAGGGACAGGCCACTGGCGGCAGCCATCTCTGGAACAAAGAGCCCAGCTCCCAGGGACCATAAAAGCATTTCCCATCGGAGGCACCATCCAAGGGTCAGAGGTCACAAGAACTCACCTGACCCCAGCAACAGGATCCCAGTTACTACCCAGAGGCATCCTGACATGCAAGAACAGGGGCTTTGTGAGCACAGAAGAAACGGGGAACCCGGGAAGCTGCTAGTGGGCAAAGATGGGGCTCAATTTAGAGAGAACTGGGAGGTTAGATGTGTCAGTACTAAGGAAACGGGCAATACTTTATTCTTCCCTTTGCAGAGTCCCCCCTCCCCCTTACCCAGCAAGCCTTGTCTTCTGCAGGGTACCCATGACTGGGGTACTGCCCTCACCCTGGTGCAGGGGATCCCCACACCTTTTGTTTTGGGACCACACCCTTTGATGCTCAGGAGTCACTGCTGGCTCTGCACTCAGTAAACTACTCCTGGTGGTGCTGGGGGCACCATATGAGATACCAAGGATCAAGTGCCACATGCAAGGCAAACACCCTACCCACTGTGTACTGTCTTTCAGCCCCCAGCAGATTCCTTTTAAACGCCCCTTGGACGTGCCATGATGTACAACAAGCTCTGCACTCTTGCCCTCGACCACCTGCCAAACCTTCCCGTGTGCCAGGTGACTGTTCGACTGTCCCGTTTCCCCGCTAAAGCCCAAAGCAAAAGGACGGAAGAGCCTGTCTCTCCTGTGTCACGAGTGCCAGGGCCCGGGTAACTTCAAATCCATTGAGTTTTGCATTCTGTGCTCCACGGTGCCATGGGGTGGGGTTGGGGGGAGTATATCGGTTTCTGGACTGCCTGGTGGTAGGTTGAGGCTTTTGAGCCATGTTTGTGCTTGGGATGGAAACTTCTTCCCTAGTTGGGGATAGGGGTAGGGAGCACCAGGGGTGGGTCCAAGCCTAGAAGGAGTTAAAAAGAGGAAAAGAGGCCAAAGAGGGGCAGAGCTGAGTGGGGTGGGGGTGGGGGGCACTAGGAAAGGGGACGCTATCCTCCGCCCGCAAGCGCGCTCGGGTTCCTGGGCTCAGAACCAGCACGGAGACCACATGAGCGAGCCCAGGGCGGCCCCCGTGGCGGCCCCCGCCAGCATGCCCATGGCCAGCGGGGCGCCGGAGCTGTAACAGGGATCATCCCGCACGATGACGTGTGTCACGCCGCCGGGACCTGCAGAGAGAGAGCCCGGAGGGCGGGAGAGATGAGAGCCCAGCACGGAGCACGGAGAGCTCTTCGGAGCCGTGCTCCCGCGGGACTCCTGCCCCTCTCTCCTGCCTCCCGGAACTGACAGCTCGATGCGGGCAGTAGCCCCTCCGTCCTCGAAGGTTCCTAGCGTCAGCTCGGTCGCAGACGGGACTGTGGGCAAATTGTCAAGGAAACCCCAGGAAAGCGAAGCACCGATGGGGGTGGGGACGCTCCAGACCGACTCAGACGGGAGTCGGCGCCCATTCCCGCATTGGCCACCAGGGGTCGCCACCAGCTCAAGAACGCGTGTTGACGGGCAGTCAGGCCCGCAGAGGCCGTCCAGAGAGGGACGGTCCGCCCAGAAAGCAAAACAGCGCCCATCCAAGTTCTACTCTGAGCGTAGGGACAGGGGTTGCCCTGGAGAAGCCCCGACTGGAAAAAGACGTTGTCACTGAAAGAACAGGGCATACCCCCAACTGATAAGTTCGGAAGGGCCCCCCACCCTCACCCCATGCCCACACTCCAACTGATGGATGGAAACGGGGGGCACGGAGGTGCAGGGACTTACCTGCATAGGCTGGTCCGTAGTAGCTGCGGACGTAAGTCGCCTCGTGCGCGTTGGGGGGCACCACCTCATAGTAGTCCTGGTACGGGCTGTAAACGCGCACCTGGGGACGCCCAGCGGGTCAGCTGTCTGGCATCCCCGGACCCTGATTCGGTCCCCTATCCCCCACACCCAAGCCAGCCCAACCCAGCCCGTAAGTTTCTAAAGGTGATCCCAGGGACCAGCAGCTTCGGGAGCAATAGTACAGGGTTTCCCCGTTCTCTAAAACTCTACATCCAGCTCCCAAGGGTGCCACATTCCCACACTGGTCTTGTCCCCGCACTCTGCCCACACTGGAAAATCCTCCATGGCTCCCAACTGCCCTGCACAGGCAGACCAGCATTTGCTAGCAGCACCCCCCTCCACCCCAGTGAAGCCACTTGGAGGAGCCCAGTGGATTTCTCTCCTCTCCTAATTACTGGAAGGGGATCCTGGCTGTGCCCCCCAGGCCAGGAAATAGGAGGATTGGGGAGGAAGGAAGGGAAAGAAGAGAAGGGGCGGGAGGTCACTAAAATCATTATTGAGCATCTACTATGTACCAGGTCCTTCAGAGTGTCGGCATGTTACCCTCCCTGATTTCTACCAAAGGCATTATATGCACATTTCGCAGAGCCAGGATTGGCGCTCAGAGAATGCTCAGTGTTGGCAGGCAGTGGTGGTTGGGGGGAACCTTCCCACCCCCCAACCATGACCCCAGCCACCCTTTAGATAGCCCAGGACTCCCTTAGTCTAGTTCTCTAGGGACTGTGCTTCTTCCTGTCCTCCCCCACCCCCACCCCATGCCCACACTCCAAATGTGAACTTCCCAGAGGAGAGGACTTTAAGCATCACCCTAGACCCAGGTGACTGGCAAGAACCAATAAATATATTGACATCAGTTTTTCATGATACCCTCAGGAGATCAGACCTGCGAGGGGGCGGGTTCCCTCTCTTAGTCACTTTCCTCCGAAATCTCCAACTGGATTGCATACCAGCAACTCTGAGAAATCCGGGTGACTTAAACTTGACCAATCTTAGTGATTTCATCAATTTCCCATCCCCATGCCCAAGCCTGCTCCTCCCGTCAATACAATCTCTAAATGCCCCCACCATTACTTAAGCCTAGAATCAGGCTGGCACCCCTGCCCTCTTCTATGCATCTTCCACATCAGAAACCAGGTCTTGTGGCTTTTTCTTCTTTTGGGGTCACACCCGGCGATGCACAGGGGTTACTCCTTGCTCATGCACTCAGGAATTACTCCTGGCAGTGCTCGGGGGACCATATGGCCATATGCTAGGAATAGAACCCGGGTCGGCTGCATGCAAGAAAAACGCCCTATCCGCTGTACTATCGCTCCAGCCCCTCATGGTTTTTTCCTATGTCTGCTCTTTCGCCCATCCTCATGACCATGGTTTTGACAATTTGGAGTTATGGGACTCCAAACTGGACTTGGAAGAACACTTTCAGAATAATTTGGGGAGGAAGCCAGCTAAGCCAGAGGAATCTTAGGGGAGGAAAGGGACCCAGATGGAGCTCAGTGCTAGAGTAGTAACCACCTTCCATGTGTGGGGCCCTGGGTTGGACCCCTGGCACCTCTCATCCCCCAAAGTCAAATTATGTAAGATTGAAGACAGGATGAAATGTGAGGGTTAGAATCAGATTACAGCGTGTCTTTAGTTACTCTAAAAAGCGGAGTTTTCCGAGGTGAAATCTCCACGCTATTTCCCTGGTGCTGGTCCTCAGACACAGTCTCAGGTGACCATCCTGCTTGCCTAAGGGGATCCAAGAGGGCTTCTGTGTGGAGGTGGCCAGGATATGGCTCTGTCTAGAAGAGATGCCAGCATTCAGGCCCCCCACCCCACCCCCAGTATTACTCGTAGGGAAGCTTAGGTGCCGTGTCCACACCTGTAAGGCCCTGAGGAGAATGCAAACACCTCATCTCCCTGTGGATCACCCGTTTCTACCCTCCAGGTGTGGGAGGCCCAGAGTAAACTCTGCCAGTCACCTGGCAACAAGCCCCAAAGGACAGACTCTCCAAGCGTGATTTCCATCATCCGTCGCTCAGGCTCAGCCTCTTCTGCAGGGACAAGTCAGCTGATCAGGAGGGCAGGTTACTTGGCCCTTTTCCTCAGGAAGCTGTGGTGGACTTGGGTTTACAATCTTTGAATGCCTATTTTTTGACAACTCTAGACAAACTTCTATGGACTGGGGATTTGACTTTGTTTTGGTTTGGTTTGCTTGTATTGTCTGGGATTGCACCCAGGGCCTCACAAATGCAAGGCAAGTGCCCTTCCGCCCAGCTGTTTGAGTCTGAGTGTGGGGGACAGTTTGCTCTGATGAATCTTCACGCTCGTCCAGTTCTATGACCTCTCAGAGGGGCTATTTTCTCAGTCCTGATTGGGGACCCACTGTCCTCTCCCAAGGCGCTGTGAGAGCCCAGCTGAACCACTGGGCTCAGTGGTTCTACACATCAGAACCACCAGGAGAACTGTGTTTCTTCTGGAGCCTCCCAAGCTCAAGCTTCCTCCCCTCCTCCCTCCATCCGCCCCTGGAGGCGGGCGGGACCATTCCCAGGTGATGCTGGATGGCGCAGGGCTTAGGCCTGCGAGTTAGTGCGGCTGGCGACCAGCAGGTGGCGCTGGGATATGGTGCCAGGGATCAAACTTCCATCTTCACCTGCCAAAGCGAGCGTCAACACCTTTTAAGCATCTCCCTGCCCCATCTGGAAAAGTATTTTAAATGTATGTGTTTTTTTTTTTAAACGTGTGTGTGGTGCTGGGATTCAAACCTAAAGCCTCACACATGCAAGTCAGATGCTCTACCACTGAGCTCCATCCCAATTCAAAGGTCAGATATTTTGTATTTGGGGTGGGGATGGGGGAGGCGAGGGTCACACCGGGCAGTGCTTAGGGGTTACTCCTGGCTCTGCACTCAGAAATAACTCCTGGTGGACTTGGGGGACCATATGGGATGCTGAGGATCAAACTCAGGTTGGCCACGTACAAGGCAAGTATCTTACCCGCTGTACTATCTTTCCAGTCCAGATGTTTTGCATTTTGAGGGGGAAGGGGCTGGCCCATACCTGGTGGCTCAGGGACTACTCCTAGATCAGTGCTCAAGGTTGCTCCTAGTGTACTTAGGGGGCCATGTGTGGTGCCAGAGATCGGACCCAGCCTCCTGCATGCAAAGTATGCATTAAACCCACTGAGCTGTCTCTCCAGCCAGGAGGGAAAAAAAAAATTAAGGGGATGGAGCAATAGCATAGCGGGTAGGGCTATGCCTTGCACGCGGCCAACCCGGGTTTGATTCCCAGCATCCCTTATGGTCCCCTGAGCACCGCCAGGGGTAATTCCTGAGCGCAAAGCCAGGAGTAACCCCTGTGCATTGCCAGGTGTGACCCAAAAAGCAAAAAAATTAAGCCAGAGCTCCAACTCCCAGCCTCAACCTACCGATCAAAGAGCATCTGGAGCTGGGGCCTAACCATTTGGTTAAGTCTGTGCCCAGACGCAGCTGTAGAGACAGCCACTGTGCTGGAGAGAGTGCATAGCTTACTAAGACCACAGGTACTGTGCCACAAGGCCCCTGAGCCATTCCAGACCAGGCTGGGCACTGAGGAGAGAGCGGGTTTATCCCCACATCCTGCTTTCTGAAAGCACCGGGAGAACAGGCAGACAGACGCAAACTGAATTACAGTCACATGACAGTGATGCTAGCAAAGAATTCTCACTCCTCTCTTCCTCTATCACTTTCTCACGAACTGAACTGAACTCCACTTGAGGCCTCCTGGTGCCAGACAAGACAGTCCCACGCCTGAACATTCCTTTGTTTGTTCTGGGGTCAGACCCAGCAGTGTTCAGGATTTTACTACTGGGTCTGTGCTCAGGAATTACTTCTGGCGGGGCTCGGGGGACCCTATGAGGTGCCAGGGATACAAACTCTGGTTGGCCGCAGGCAAGGCCCCATGAGCACTCATTGAGTGCCTGCTGTATACCCATCCCTGTGTCAGACTCTGCAGAGACATGGCTGAGCAGACCGGGTGCTGGCTTTGGTCTCGGGAGAGAACAGAGACAGAAACAAACACAGCCCGACCAGCAGACTGAAGACGGGCGGGGCTCCCTGAGGGCCAGGGCTCTGCCTGGAGGGTTGGGAGCAGCTCCCCGTGGAGGTGGTGGCTTTGGTGTGGATCTGAGAGGACCAGCAGCCCTTTATCAGGCCAGGATGGAAGCGGAGAGAAGCATGTGCAAAGGCTGGAGGAGGGAAGGGCCGGTGGGAGCAGAGGGACAGGCTGACAGGGGAAGGTGACACGGCCAGGGCAGACCCTGGCCCAGGCAGGGGTGTGGGGTGCCTGTGGCTGTGGGTGTGGGGAGCCATGGAACATTCACGAGCTGAGAAAGAAAGGAACCAGCCCAGGCCTGGAGGGACACCAGAGTGGACACAGGGAGGGCTGAGCCAGCACTTACCCAGATCCGCCTCTCAAACTTACAGGGACTCCACGAGCGGCTCCCACACCTGACCGTGGGGCAAAGCCGGCGGCTCCTGGGAGGGACAGTGCCAGCGGGGGCCTGCGCGAGCCACAGAACCCCAGGAAGGGGCGCGGGGTGGGGGTGGGGGGCTGGTGTCAGTGGCCCTGCAAGCCTGGAGATGCTCCGAGCTCTTGGGCAGGGACATTGGGCCTCTGCCACTGGCCACTGGGGGAAGGGACATTCCTCAGGCCCCAGGCAGGCTTGGAGAGGCCCAGCGACTGTGCAGAGAGCTTGGAGGAGGATGAGAGCCCAGCATGCTGCCGGCTTCACCTGCAGGATGCTGAAGCGCGCCCCTCGCATGTGAGGCGCTGAGGGACCCCACCCGCCAACTCCAACCTCCCAGCCTGCCCCTGGGGGTGCCTCTCCCCGTGGCCCTACAGAGAAAAGGGGCCTCCTCCTAGAATCTCCACCCGCCCCAGTGGGGCAGAAACCTGCAGCGTGGAGGGACAAAGCACAGAATCTAACTCACCGGCATGTGAGGGACGGGAGACATGGGCAGCAGTGAGGACAGACAGATGCGGTGGAGGACAGACAGACACAGAGACAGAGCCATGGGAGAGGGAGGATGGGAGCCACGGGGCGAGGGGGGTGAAGGGGAAGGGGCCTGTGTTGTACATGTAGAGTGTATGTGAGAGGTGATGTGTGTCCATGCACGTGTGTGAGGGTGCGTGTGTGCTGTGTGTGTGACTTTCCGGGCAGTGTGTGTCTCTGTGGTATGTGTGGGGCATGTGTATGTGCGGTGTTCGTATGGCATGTGGTATATGGGGCTGAATGCATGCAAGTGCGCGGGTATACATGATGTGTGTGCATGTATGTATATTATGTGGTATAAGGGGCTGTATGCATGGGAGGGTGAGGGCGTGTTGTGTGTGATGTGTGTGGTGTGTTGTGTATGTATGTGAAGAGTTTGTATAGTATGTGGTATATGAGATGTGTGGGGGTGTTGTGTGTGATGTATGTGCGGTGTGTGTATGTGTGTGTTGTGCATGTAAAGTGTTTGTATGATATGTGGTAGGCAAGGTTGTATGCGTGTCAGGTGTGGGGTGTGTTGGGTGTGCAGGTGTGTGTCTGTGGTGAGCAGGACAGGACAGGACAGGCGGAGCAGGGACGGGCTGCTTCATAGAGTCACTGGGGGCAGAACGGTCAACCTCACCTGCGGCTCCCCCCTCTCAGGATGGTCCCTCCATGAGGGACAGTTGGGGCTCAGAGCCAGGGCCCCCAACCTAGCAAAGTCTCCCCACTAGCTGACCCCTCCCCCAGCCTCCTCAGTCCCAGATTTCCCTTCCCAGCTTCCAGCCTCTCCAGGCCTGTCTGGGCCCTCTTCCTGCCCGGGGAACCCTCAGAACTAAGTGTTCCCAATCTCTGAACCTCCGCTTACCTACCTGCAAAATAGGATTCAAAATCCTGGCATGTACAAGGGCAGCTATCCTAAGGTTCCAGGGTGAATCAGAGCCAGGCAGGGGCCAGCAGTGGGTCAGCAGTGGGGGCTTCGGGCAGCTCCGCACCCTCCATCCCACCAATCACCAAGCTCTGCGGACCCTTCCTCAGTGTCTGACTCAGCCACATGTTGGCCAGCAAGGCCAGAGTGCAGACAGACACCTGGACTGGACTGTCCCACTGGTCTCAGGACATCCTCTCTCACCTGCTCTGCCCCCCTCACCCCTGCCCTGCCACAGGCTGCTTAAAACTCCACAGTAGGAGCTGGAGCAACAGGACAATGGGGAGGGTGTTTGCTTTGCACGCAACCAACCTGGGTTCAATCCCTGGCATCCCATAGGGTCCCCTGAGCACCCCCAGGAGTAATTCCTGAGTGCAGAGCCAGGGGTAACCCCTGAGCATCGCCAGGTGTGGCCCTCTCCCCCACAAAAACAAACAAAAAACTGCAAACCCTCCACAGCTTGTCTGAAAAACTGTCTCTGGCTCCTGGCGCTCTGAGCAGAAGCCCATCTTTAGCTGGCCGCCAGCGCCCCTCACCCCTGAGCTCACACCCGCCACCTTCTGTTCCATCCTGCCAGCCTGACCCCCTCAGGTCACATGCTGCTCCTGATGCCTGGAAAACTGTTCCCTTCAGAGTCCTTCCGTCCCATGTTTTCAGTTTTGTTTAGTGTGTTACACCACACACCCTTATCACCAGAATAACGGGTGAAGCCCTCACTCAACTATCAATGACGCTGTAAATCTTTAATAGAAAAAAAAATGTTTTAAAGCTGTTTCCTCGGTCACCAGTCTCCCCTGGTTTCTTTCTGTCATTCTTTGGACTCATCCTAATTCTCGTGTCTGCCCGCCCCCCCCCCCAACCCCCACCTGGCTTGGCCACCAGGGAGGCAGCTACCTGAAGCGCAGCCCAGCACGTCTCTGTCCGAGCGTCATGTCCCGGAGCCATGGAAGCAGATAGCCGGGATGGATGAGCTCACCCTGACTCCCCACGTCAGCAAGGGAGGGCCTGGCCACGCCTCCTGACTCTTCTCTGATTCCTAGTGCATGGCACTGGGCCCATACACAGCCAAAACTGAACTATTTGTTGTGGGGTTGAGTGGGGCTGAGTGTTTTGTTTCTGGAGGGACCACACCGGGAGGTACTCAGGACCCATTCCCAGCATAGTGTTCAGAAGTTTCTCCCAGCAAAGTTTGCAGGACCGTGTGGTGCTGGCACTGAGCCCCAGTCTCCAGCAGGCCGGGGGACAACCCTCCTGCACTGAAGCTTCGTCTCCATGCAGGAAAAAACAACAACCAGGGGCCGGAGAGATAGCTCAGTGGGTAGGGCACTTGCCTTGCACATGGCTGACCCGGTTCAATCCCTGGAACCTCATATAGAGTCACTCAGGAGTGATTCCTGAGTACAAAGCCAGGAGTAAGCCCTGAGCACCACCTGGTGTGGCCGCAAAACAAAACAACAACAACAAAAGGTAAAGCAACAAAAACAACCCCAAAGTAGTCATGAGGAACCGCGGGAGCTTCTCTGGCACCACCACACCTGCCACACACAGTTCAGGTAAGCCAGTCCCAGAACGCGGCTCCCGGAAGCCGCCCTCAGGTCTCCTGACCTGTCTCCCTGGGGACTCAGCACGTGAGTCTGTTTGCTGACAGGAGTGAACCCAGACCTCCCAGCAGGTAGAGACCGAGTCTGCATCCCCCATGGTCCATGGCAGGGGGGACTGAAGGGTCAAGGGGTGAGGGAAGGGTGGGGGGCTCACCGGGGTGGAGTGGGCCTCCATCAGCGCCGTCTTCCACGCTCTGCAAAGCAAACCCACCAGAGCATGAGGTTGAGTCTGGGATAGGGGGCCTTGAGTCCCCACATTTCAGACTCTCCTCCTCAGCCCAGTCTCTAATGAAGTGGGAGACTCTCCTGGGTAACAAAGATGCCCCCACCCCTGACCAGTTGCCACCACATCCTTCACTTGAGCTAGAACTTCCCAGTTCATTTTTTTTTTTTGACTTTTTGGGTCACACCCTGCGACGCACAGGGGTTACTCCTGGCTCTGCACTCAGGAATCACTCCTGGCGGTGCTCAGGGGACCATGTGGGATGCTGGGAATCGAACCCGGGTCAGATGCGTGCAAGGCAAACACCCTTCCTGCTGTAATATCCAGCCTCCCACCCCAGTTTATTGTTTTGGTTGGTTGGTGTTGTGAGTCACTCTCGGGGGTGCTCCTGATGATGCTTGGGACCATGTGGTACTGGGGACCGAATATGGGCCTCCCACATGCCCAGCCTGTGCCCATTGAGCCACTTCTCCGGTTCATCCTAATTCATTCTCAGCCCAAAGTGTCTGGCCTCCAGAAATTCCATTCTCCCCATCTGTGTAACAGCTGGGCATGTTTGGTCTCGCAGGGGCTGAGACTCCCACATGCCCGAGCCTCTCCTCCCCATCCCGAACCTACAAACAGATCCCGGCACTCTGACCCTGGCGCCCCGGGCAAGGCCGAGTGGACACCGGACAACTGGGCCTTTGTTGGTTGCCATGGCACCTGGCGGGGTGGACAAGGCCGCTCTGTGCTTTGTCTTGCCAGAGCTCAGCGGCCCCACTCCCACACACCCGTTTCTCTCAGAGCCAGGCCACTCTCCCCTGGGAGTAGGCAGGGGAGGAATGTGAGGGGCGAAGGGAGGGGGTATTTCTCAGGGCAGGACATGGTGCTGGGAGTTCTTGGTAGGGGGGCTATCTCTGTTCGGCAGTTGAGGGACCCTCAGAGCAAAGCCCCCGATGGGCCAGCTAGCAGAGGGGGTTCTTGGGGAATTGGACTCTGTGGGAGGGCCCCACTCGAGGGCAGGACACACAGCCCAAGACCCCTGCAGGTTGGGCCCCTATCCACCCCTGCAGGATTCTGGCCCACTCCCGGGGCCTCCCTGCCCGCACCCCAGGGTCACTCACAGGGCGTCATCACGGGTCTCAGCGCACAGGTGCAGGCGGGAGCCCTCTCGCAGGCTCACGGTCAGCAGGCCGTCCCGGCTCCGGCCCTCAGGGGGCTGCACATCTAGGACAGTCACACAGGCTTTCCATCGGCCCGGCCCTGCCCCCACCCACAACCCAGAGCAAAAGCAGGAGCTGATTTCTCTGGTCCTGTGTACTGACCATTGCCAACACGTGTGTGTCTGTGTGAGTGTCTGTGTGCATGTCTGTATGTGCATGTCTGTGTGTGTCTGTGCATGTCTGTGTGTGTCTGTGTTTGTGTGTCTATGCACGTCTGTGTGTCTGTGTGTCTCTTTGTACATGTCCGTGTGTATGTATGTGTATGTCTCTGTGTGCATCTGTGCATATGTCTGTGTATGTCTATGCATGTGTGTGTGTCTATGCATGTCTGTAAGTGTCTATGTGTGTGCCTGTATGTGTGTGTCTGTGCATGTATGTGTGTGTCTGTGTGTGCCTGTGTGCGTGTGTTTATGCATGTATGTGTGTCTGTGTGTATGTCTGTGTGTGTGTGTGTGTGTGTGTGTGTGTGCGCCTGTGGTGTATCAGGGGTGAAGCACAGAGTCCCACACATGTAAGGCACCCCTGACTCTCTCTGCTAACCCTTTATTTTGGTCGGGGGTGAGAGGTGGTGGTGGAGATACTACATAGGCTCAGGGATCGCTCCTGGCTGTGTTCAGAGATCACTACTGACAGTGTTTAGAGACCGTATATAGTGCCAGGGATCAAACTGGGGTCACCTGCATGCAAGGCAGCTGCCTTATCCCCAGTGTCCCCAGCCTCTCTGCTCTACCCTTAACCCACCCCCACACCCCAATGTTTTCACAATGTCCCATCCCTAGTTAGGTCCTCTTTCTCCCATGACCCTGTTAGAGCTATGAGCCTTGGCGAGGGTTGCTGCACCAGCCAATCACTTCTCTAAACAGCTTTATTTCCTTTCATCAAGACCCTAGCACCAAGAGAGCAGGTGCTGAGGCTGAGTCACCTCCCAGACCCCAGTTTCAGATCTAGGCCTAACACGGGGGGTGAACTCAGAAAGGAACTTTGTTCTTTGTTTTGGTTTTGGGCCACACCTAGAAATGCCCATTGGTGACTGCTGGCTTTGCATCCAGGAATCACTCTGGCAACGCTCCCGATACCATATGGGACACGGGAGATTGAACCGGGTCAGCCTAGTGCAGGGCGGCACCCTACCCACTGTGCTCTCTCCAGCCCCACGAGGGGCTACTCTTGGCTCGCTTCTGGCCATCCTGGGACTGTGTCCAGCATCACCCCTGCAAAGCCCAAGCCCAGCCCACTGAGCTACTCATCCCCTAATCACAGAGATCTCAGGAATCAGGGCTTCAGAAACTGGAGTTGATGGCAGCCCAGAAGCAGGGTCGGTGGAAAGTCCTTGAAAGCTGAGAAGAGCCTTCCAAGGCCGGTTCCCACAGGAAGGTGCCCACATCCTCAGAGGGGCGCAGCTCACCCTGGCACTCGTGGCCGATCTTGATGTCACGGATGTTGAAGTGGATGAGCACACGGTCCTCTTCATCCAACGCGTTCTCATCATGGTAATAGCCCAGGGTTCCGTCCATCCACAGGGCGAACCAGTTCCGCTTCCAGCGGCGGAGGATGGAGCCTGTGTGAGAGTCCAGAGCCACTGGGCTGAGGCTGGTGCTGGGCAGCCGGAGTTCACTCACCTGTAAACTGCCTGCCTGTCAGACCACCCCCTGACATGACAGCAGCCCTTCCCCCTGGGCCTAGCTCAGAGCATCGGAATGCCAAATGGGCAACCGGCCAACATTCAGTTTTTGGAGGGGTGACGGTGAGGATGGAGTTTGGATTATGGGCTCTCCCGGTGACGCCAAGGGGCAATCCCCACTCTCTGCTCAGGAGCAATGCTTGGCAGTGAGGTGCTGGGGATGGGACAGGGCTCTGCCCTAGGCAAGGCAAGTGCCCTAACCCCTGTACTATCTCTCTGGCTCAGGCCCATTCTGGAGGAACTTCAAAGCCAAGTCCTAAACCTCAAGGTCTTTCTGTCTCTTTGTTTTTGGGCCACATCTGACCATGGCCAGGGGCTACTTCAAAGTCAAAACACAGATTCAGCCTTTTGAGCCATTTCTCATAGCCCCTCGAGGCCTGTCATTAAGGTCAAAAACCTCCCACACTCCATACAAGGGTCTGCGTCCTGGCAGGACTCAAAGGGTCCAAGGGTTGCTGAGCTAAGAGTGGGGCACAGGGGGCTTCTGGGCCTGCACCGCCTGTTCAGAGATGGTGTCCGAGGTGGGTCTGGAAGTCCACACTTCAGACTCGGGCATTTTTGTTTCTGGAATTTTTTTTTTTTCTTTTTGGGTCACACCCGGTGATGCACAGAGGTTACTCCTGGCTCCACACTCAGGAATCATTCCTGGCGGTGCTCGGGGGACCATATGGGATGCTAGGGATCGAACCCGGGTCAGCTGCGTGCAAGGCAACCGCCCTACCCTCTGTGCTATTGCTCCAGCCCGTTTCTGGAAATCTTAATGGGAATGCACAAGGATGAGAGCTCCTTAGAGGACGGTAAACTCCAGCACAGAGGCTGTCTTCAATCTGCGCAAACCTTGTCCTGGGGTCAGCCCTGGGGACCACAGAGGAACAGACCAAACCCCCAGTGGAGGAGGCCATTGTTGGGGGCCACACAGATGGAGAGTGTGGGGGCCACAGATCATGATAGTGAGAGGGAAACCAACACTAAAACGGCTATGGGAAACCAGGAACGGAGCCACAAAACCAGTGTAGTGCTACAGGGAGTGCAGGGGTGGGGAGTTCAAGGGAGAGTGAGGGAGGGCTCCTCACAGAAGGAGCCAGAAAGAATGCAGAGTCAGCAAGTGGCCAGGGATACAAGGGATGTTCCAGGCAGACAGAAGAGCAACAGCCAGGAGCAGGGAGACTAAGATTCTGGGTTCCTTCGAGCCAAACAACCCCCTCCCACACCCCAGCCCCAGACTAGCTGGGGACAGACATGGGTGTGGCCTGGTGTCACTCACTCTGTCTCCATAGCCAGCCGCCCCTCACCAGGGACATTTCTTCAAAAGGACTCTCCAGGGTGGAGCCGGAAGAAACCTGTAAAGGAATCATAAGACATGGGCTCAGCGACCAGACCCTGGTCCTGTCGCCCCCGTGACCCTTGCCCTTAAGAGTTACCGAGAGGGGCTGGAGCAATAGCACAGCGGGTAGGGCGTTTGCCTTGCACGCAGCCAACATGGCCGATACAGGTTCAATTCCCAGCATCCCATATGGTCCCCTGAGCACCGCCAGGAGCAATTCCTGAGTGCATGAGCCAGGAGTAACCCCTGAGCATCGCTGGGTGTGACCCAAAAAGCAAAAGAAAAAAAAGGTTACCGAGAGCCCCTTAAAGAAGTGTGGACAACAGGACAGGACAACAGGACAACAGGAGCGATAGTATAGGGGTAGGGCTTGCCCTGCATGCTGCCAACCCAGGTTCGACCCCCCACATCCCATATGGTCCCCTGAGCCCCACCAGGAGTAATTTGTGAGTGGAGAGCCAGGAGTAATCCCTGAGCATCACTGGGTGTGGCCCAAATATCCACCCACCCAAACAATGAAGCAATAAGAGGCCCGAGTGATAGAACAGCAGGTAGGGCATTTGCCTTGCACGCGGCAGACCTGGGTTCAATTCCTACCTGGGTGCAATCCCTGGCACCCCATATGGTCTCCTGAGCAACATCAGGAGTGACTCCTGAGTGCAGAGCCAGGAGTAACCCCTGAGCATTGCAAAGTGTGGCCCAAAACAAATGAACAAAGGTGCAACAAAGGCAAGCCAGCAGGTAGAGGGTGGGAGAGTGTCTGTGCTAGAAGGATGGGAATAAGAGCTGGACCCCTCGTCTGCTCTGTCACCTCAACACCTTCTGTATCTCTGTAAAAGTCTGTCTCGGAGGCAGGGAGAGGAACTGTTTTGGGGGGAATGAAGGTTTGGGACCACACTCGGCAAAGCCAGGAAGGTTGGGGGGTTGATTCCAGGGATCAAACTGGGACTGACCATGTGCAAGGCAGGTACCTGGACCCCTGTACTGTCTCTCTAGCCTGAGAGAGGCACTCGGCAGATCAGTTCTGGAATACTAGCAGCACAACACTTGGAATCCCAGTCGTGAAGGAGGGGTTTTCAAGATAGAAGAGCTACCCTCACATTTGGACTTCAACTAAGCTGTTTACAGTGCATGATCAGGGCTGGAGCAATAGTACAGCGGGTAGGGCATTTGCCTGGCATGAAGCTGACCCAGGTTTGATTTCCCAGCATCCCATTTGGTCTCACAACCTCCAGGAGTCATTCCTGAACAGAGAGCCAGGAGTAAGACCTGAGCACTGCCAGATGTGGTCCCAAAACAGAAAAAATAAACAACAAAAGAACAAAATGCATAAACACTAGGATTGGTTTTGGATTTTGTGGCGGGAGGGGACTCTCCCCAACTGTGCAGGGAGGGCAGTGGTCCAGGATATGAAACTGGATTCCCCCAGAAGAAAGCAGAGGTCCTGGGGTTATGCAACTGGGGCCTCTGAGGGGCTGCAGCCCTTTGAACTATCTCCCGGCCCATTAGAAGGCCAGTCCCACAGCAGCGCTGACTGAGCGACACCTTCCAGTGTTCATCTTCACTCCCTTGAGGACTCACAACCGTCCACGCTGTTCCCTCGGGATCGAGAATGTTGGAGCCAGAGGAACCAGTCACCTCACAGGGATGCTTGAGTCAGCAGCTCAGCTGGGACCCACACGGACCAAACCCAACTTCCAGCTGCCATACCGGTAGAGCTTGGAAGACCCCATGCCCAGGCCATGCCCCAGACCAATTAAATCAATAGTCTGGGGGCGGGAGGCAAGTGTCAGGCTGTCAACTGGCAGCGAAGTTTGGGAATCACACACAAACTCTGTCCTACCTCCCGTTGCCACCACCCCCCTTTCTGGTGACTGATGGCTAATGTGGATAGACAAACTAAAGGGACAGCAAATGACGTGTCCGAGAATATGATGGAGCTTGAAATGAGTCGGCCCTGTTCCTGAGGGTGAGTTACTGCAAGTGCCTCTGCCCATCCCCCTCCGGCTAGTACCTGTTGCTGCGTAGCAAGGGCTGGCACACCTGGGCTGGCACACCTAGGCTGGTGAGGCCGGGGCGTCCCAGTCCTGCTTCCCCCCCCCGAGCACGCCCCACTTTGCCTCCCTCCCCTCTCACCTGAGACTAGAGAGCCTAGAGCCCCTTCCCTCCCCCTCCCAAGTCCTCTCAGTTCACCCACCTGTCTACACCTGTTGTAGATGCAGTTGCCAAAAGGCCGCTACTTGATGCTGCAGTCACCCAACCCGCTGCGCCTGCGCCTTCTGTGCCCTAGATCGCCTGGGGCAGTCCACTCCCGGGGCAGCGCCCAGGGCCCCACGGCCCTGGCCCCGCCCCCAGCCCGGGTCCCGCCCCACCCCAGCGAAGGGGCGGGTCGTGGGGGGGGGGGGGAGAGTGTGCGTGCGCGAAGCCTGCTGGGACTTGTAGTCTGCAGCTATGAAGGAGGCCGTGTGCCCGCTCTTCCCTGGCGGTGCCCAGTGCTAAGCGGGAGCACTGCAGAATGACGGCAGCTGCCACTTTAGTCTCCATGACCTATAGTAAGTCATTTATCATGAAATTTTTTCTCCTAAGTATACTGAATTCATTGTCTAGAAAAAGCAAACTTCTAAGGGGCTGAAGCGATAGTACAGGAGGTAAGGTGTTTTGCCTTGCACACAGTCAACCTGGGTTCGATCCTCGGCATCCCATATGATCCCATAAGCACCGCCAGGAGGAATCCTGAGTGCAGAGCCAGGAGTAACCCCTGAGCATCTCCCAGTATGACACTCCCCCCCCCAACCCCCCAAAAATAGAAAAAGTAAACTTGCAAGGGTCTAGGATGTAGCTCAGGGGTAGAACATTTGATTTATACAGGTGAGGTCTCTGGGTTCAAGACTCTCTCTCTCTCTCTCTCTCACACACACACACACACACACACACACACACACACACTCACTCACAAAAGGTATTGCTAGGAGAAGCCAGGCTCCTAGTTCCTCCCTCCATTGTCCATATGTAGTGCCTGGCAAGGCTCTGGGGACTGTGGAGGGTACAGAGAAGTTGCCAACACACCCCTTTTCCCTGACCCAACTTTCTGTCTGATGGGAGAAATGACGTGAAAAAACACGGAGTGCGAGTGTGATTTTAAAGTGGAAAAGAAGAGGGCCAGAGGGATGGGACAGGGAGCAGGACACTTGCCTAGCACGCAGCTGACCCAGCTCAATGCCTGGCACCCCATAAGGTCCCCTGAGCCTGCCAGGAGTGATCCCTGAGCACAGAGCCAGTAGTAAGCCCTGAGGTCTGTCGGGTATGACCCCCACCAGCCCCCCCCAAAAGTGGGGGGAGAATCTGGCTTTGTCCAAGAGGTTTTGGAAAGCTGCCTGAGAGGCTGGAAGGGATGTTTGAAGTTGAATAGGAGTTCTCCAGGGAAAAGTGTAAGATCCTTGTATGAGCACTGGGCAGGGAGTCCCAATGAGCACCCAGTATCTCCAGTGCTTGGTAGCAGAGAGCAGTAAGAGGGAAGGCTGGGGAGGGCCAGAGGGAACAGATGCTGGGTGCAGGGCAAGTAGGGAGGCTCAAGAGCTCAAACATCTGTTGGAAGCCCAGAGGCAGAGCTTTCCAGATGGAGTTAGGTGATCTGCTTTACGGCTTGGAGAGTCCCTCTACATAGTCAAAATGAATTGGCATTTGCCTGTGTCAGACCCTGGGTTCAATGCCCGGCACCATGACCACCAAAAAAAAAAATTAAAAAATTGGAAGGCCGGAGTGATAGTACAGCAGGTAGGACGTTTGCCTTGCATGCAGCCGACCCAGGTTCAATACCCGGCATCCCATATGGTCTCCCAGCACTGCCAGGAGTAATTTTGAGAGCAGAGCCAGGAGAAACCCCTGAGCAACGCTGGGTGTAACCCAAAAAGGAAAAAAAAAAGGACGGAGAAGATAGTACAGGAATTAGGGCCTCCTTGAGATTCATCCCCCTCTCCAGTCCGCCTGCTCCCCCCCCCCCCCGCCCGCAGCATTGCTGGGTGACCTTGGTGGTCCCCAGTATGGAAACCTCCAGGTCTGAGCTGCTCAGAACCCTCGGGCCTTCACATCCAAACCATCAGTTCCTGCGAGGCAAGTGGCTGGGAGGGGCCCCTGTGAGCACCTTTTGCAGGCCTTACCCCCACCCCCAAATGGAGAAAGAAGACCCTTTTTGAGAGTGGAGTGTCGCTTGGGGTGGTCCTGCCAGGAACTGTCCTTGACTAGCTCAACCCACAGGCCCGCACTTGGGGACAGACCCAGGGTGGCATCAGGGGACAGGACCTACAAGGACCCTAAGGACACCACCCCCTCCCCCCACCAAACACACACACACACACACACACACACACACACACTCCATCCCTCTTTGAGAAAGGTACCACCCGTGTTGCCCTGGGCCTCCTGTCCTGGGGTGCTGCTTACCCGGTTTGCAGGGCTCATGGTTGCAGTCCCCCCAGGCTCCCACAGAGCATGCGTGGGGCGGGGGGGGGGTGCATTTCTCTGAGCTCCTTAGAGATTAGGGGATCAGCCAGGTGCTACCAAGTGCAGGCGAGGACGGGGTTATGGGAGGGTAGGCGGGGGAGGCAGCTGGGGGTGCCAGGACGCGCACGGCCCAGAGAAAGTGGTCCTTTCTCCTCTGATAACTGGGTGGCTGTGAAAGTGTCACCCGGGACCCGCAGATTCCCACGTGCCTCTGACTCGGGGCGAGAGTGCCCTGTCCACCTCCCTCGGCCGTGTGGGCCGGACCCTGCGGTCACTCCAGTCCTGCGGTCGCTCCAGTCCGATGCTCGGCTTAAGGCTTCCTTCTCCCTCCCCATCTCCGTAATCTCTACCCAGCTCCACTGCCCAGGCGAGCCCCTCTGGGCGAGTCACCATCCCATCAGTTCGACCCCGGCTCTGCCTGTAGCCCCGGAAACAGCGTCCAGGCCCCCGCAGTTTCCAGCCCCACGGCGGGCTGGCTTTTCACTCCTGCCTTCTTCAGGCTAGATTGTTGGCCCCTGCTGCAAAAGGAAGGAGGAAGGAAGGAGCTTGCGAGTGGACTCAAGGAATCTGCCTCTGGTCCCAGCCCTCGCCCAGTGGCCCCACCCTCTCCCTCTCCCCTCTCTTCTTCTCCCCTTTCCCTCCCTCCCCTCTCCTCTCTTCCCCTCCCTCTCCTCTCTCTCCTCCCCTCTTTTCCCCTTCCCTTCCCTTCCCTTCCCTTCCCTTCCATTCCCCTCTCTACTTCTCCCTTCTCTTCCCCTCCCCATCTTCTCCCCCCTCCCCTCCCTTCCCCCTTCCTCCCATTCCCTGATGCTCTGTTTGGCCCCTTCACCCAGGGCTGGAATAGGGGTAGTGTTGCAGGCAGTGCCTAGATTACAGTCTCTGTATTTCTGGATTTAGCAACCAGGTGAAGAGGAAAGATTTACCAGCTGCAGGGTAGAAACCATAGCCCACCACCCCCACCCCACAGCCTTTCCAAAACGAAGGGAAAGGATGCTGAGTAACCAAAATCACAGAGGGACCAGAGGGCTGGTCCAGCAAGGTGAGCGCCTCACCAGTACTGGATATAGCAGGCACGGTGGGAAAGCGTCCTCCTTCTTGGGCAAAAAGCGTGAGTTTTTCTACTCTGCAAAAGCCTGGCGCTGCTGAGCCTGCAAAGTACTCCAGACGGGAGCACCAGCAGGAGGGACCTAGGAGGGACTGACTCCCCGGAAGAAATCATGTGCTCTCTGTCCTTCTTGGAGGTGGCTGCCCAGTCTTGGGCACAAACTCTGGGGGCTTGCTGTGGCTTCGGTTGGGATCTCTCTGAGCAGTGAGGGCCAAAAGTGCCTTTGGGCCCAGAGACACTGGAGCTTGTATCGCACATAGCTGACATGAGTTCGAGCCCCCTCTGGGCGTCCCCTGGCTCCAAGCTGCTTCAGCTTTATATCTGTGTGCTGGGGGTCTTTAGGGAGCCCGAGGGATCCACCAGGAGGCTGAGACCACACTTGGCTCAAGGAGCACAGTGGAGCACAGCACACAGCCACCCTGGGGAATGAGGGGACAGCCCAAAGTGGAAATATAAACACATCCGTCCATTTCTACTCTCTCTTTACTTTGGGGCTACTTCTCAATTTAACTTTTAATAATAGAAATACAAATGTATGGGCTAGGGACTACAAGGTTAAAGCATTTGCCTTGCACACAGCCAACCCCAGTCTGGTCCCTGGCACAGCATATGGTCTCCATGAGCACCACCAGGAGTGACTCCTGAGCACAGAGCAGGGACTAAACTCTTAGCACCACCAGGTATGGGCCCAAAATACAAACAGCCCCCATCAATGAAAACAGAGGTCCTAGAAGATACCTCAAAAAGGCTGAGAACCAAAAGGAGTGAGTGACAGAGAAAAGTGCCTGCCCTAAATAGAGGTGGGGGTGGAGGGTGGGAGGGACATTAGTGGTGGGAAATGAACGCTGGCGAGGGGACGGGTGTTGGAAAGTGATGTGATTGAAATCTAATCATGAACAACTGTGTATCTCACTGTAATTCAATTAAAAAACTTAAAGTTGATCATTTGATCACTTGATATCCCATTACTCATCGATTTGTTCGAGTGGGCGCCAGTAACAACTCCATTTGTCCCTGTTGCGTGCTAGTGTAGCCCAATGGTGTCTGCTTGCTACAGGAACACGAAGAGATTCAAACTGTTTTCAGAGTCTTGACGAAGAAGTCTGACCATCTCATAGCCACGTGTTCTTTTGATGTCACATGGAATCCAGTTGGTAACAGCTCTAGTCCAGCGGTCATCTTCAAATCGCGTTACGTGTCCAGCCCATCTGATTTTTGATGCCTTGGCAAACGAGACAGTGTTCCTGATTCTCAAATCGTCAACAGAGATCGGAACTCCGGATTCCTTCTCTCACTTGAGTGAAGCGTGATACTCCAAGCATAGCTCTTTCGATTCCTCTTTGGGAGACCTGAATAGTGTTCGCATCCTGTTTTCATAGGGCCCAGGTCTCTGAGGCGTATGTTAATGCAGGAAGAACAGTGGAGTCAAAGAGATGTGCCCAGAGCCAGAGTTTCTTTGTCTTCTTAGCTACTTCTTCGACGCTCTTGAAGGCATTCCATGCCACTCTCTTCCTCCTGAGCAACTCAGGTGCCAGGTCATTTGTCATGTTGAGTTCTCGACCTATGTACACATAACTGCTGCATTCGGAGATGTTCATTCTATTGAGAGCAAATGGAAAATGGAACATCAGGACCGAGTCCAGTCCATTTTTCATAAACATTGTCTTTATGAGATTCGGCTGCAGTCCGACCTTTCCACACTCACGGTCGAAGTCAGCCAGCA